GGCAGCTTTAAGGTCATCGAGGAAAGCCAATTGAGTTACTGTAAGGACTAGAAAAGTGTCCTCTGATGGTAAGCGAGAGAGGGCATTTGCTGCGTTATTGGATTTCTCAGGCCTATACTGAATTTCAAAATCAAAACCCAAGAGTTTGGATAGATGAGTTTGTTGATTCGGTGTCTAAATTGTTTGAGTCATCTGCTCTTAGATTGATTGTTGATCTGTTTGTATGATGAAATGACAGTCCAATAAGTATTGTCTTCATTTATGGACAACAAAGGTGATGGCACATAATTCTCGTATGTATGTAGAGAAATTTTTTAGTTTAGGACAAAATTGTTTGTTGAAGTAAGCTATTGGGTGACCCTGCTGTGAAAGTACTGCCTTCATGCTAGAATCTGATGCATCAGTTTAGACTGTGAAAACATGGTCGAATTGAGGAATTGCCAAGACCGGTGCATTTGTGAGAGCATTTTTTAGTGCCTGAAAGGACATGGATGCTTCTTCTGACCACAAGAAATTGTCCTTTTTTAAGAGGTTTGTAAGAGATGATGCAATAGATGCATATCCTTTCAGAAAGCGATGATAAAACTCAGTTAATCCAAGGAATCCGCGGAGGGATTTGACTGAAGCGGGAAAAGGCCATTCTAATATAACTTGTATTTTGAAGGGTCAGGTTGTACGCCCGAACTCGAGACAATGTGCCCAAGATAATGAATGGATTGTTGCCCTATTGAACACTTCGAGCCTTTTAGCCGGAAACAGTTATCCATCAGCAATTGAAATGTTGTTTCTAAGTGGGATATGTGAGCATCAAGGGTCGGGCTATAGACGAGTATATTGTCGAAAAAGACGATGATAAACTGTCACAAGTGAGGGCAAAAGAGGTCGTTCATCGTGGCTTGAAAGTTTGAGGGGGCATTGCAAAGCCCAAAGGGCATAACCTTGAATTCAAAATGCCCGTTATGTGTTATGAATGCTGTTTTCACAGAATCCAATGAACGCATGAGTATTTGATGGAACCCAAAAAGGAGATCCAGCTTTGAAAACCAGACTGCCTGACCCAACTCATCTAATAATTCATCTATGTTGGGTATTGAAAATTTTTCCTTAACAGTGACGATGTTTAGTGCACGATAATCTACACAAAAATGCCATGTGCCGTTCTTTTTCTTCACAAGGAGCATCGGGGATGAGAAGGGACTAGTGCTGGGTTTTATGAAACCAGAATCAAGCATTTTTTGGACATGTTGTTCGATTTCTTGTTTTTGGAAGTGGGGGTATTTGTATGGGCGAACGAATATTGGAGGTGTGTTGGGTAATAGAGTGATTGAGTGGTCTGCTGGTCGAGAAGGTGGGAGTGAAGTTGGTGGTTCAAAAATGGAGGAGTATTTGGTAAGAAGATCTTGTAACTCAAGAATGAAGGAAGAGGGTATGTCTGAATGTGTGGTGCAGTTTTGTAAGGTTAATGTGTTTAGGGTAGTGGGAGTATCAAGGTGTACTAGGTTTGGTGCTAGGGTCAATTGGAATAGGGCCTCAACTCGATGAGTGTTATGTAGTCTCTTTAGTTGTTGGACTGAAATGAGTGTGAGATTTGGGCTTGTTTCTCCTCTTAGTTCAACCAAATGGTTGTCCTACATAAATTTCATAAATGGGCATGTGTAGTCCATTATAAACGGGCTGATTTGGGTTAACCATTGCACTCCCAAAACAATATCAGTACCCAAGAGTTCCAAAGGATAGAGATCCACCGGAAATTTTAGAGAAGATAATGTTATGGTGTATTTGAGCAAATGGTGGAGCATGGAAGGAAATCTCCATTGCCAACCATAACACGAGGAGGTGAGTGAGTGAGTTGTTGAGGCAACTGAAGGAACTGAGCAACTCTTTGCTGGATAAAATTGTGAGTTGCCCCGCTGTCCACGAGGATCTGGACCGCATAGCCTTTAATAGATCCTGTGAGATGGAATGTACGTGGGATCCATTGGCCAGAGAATGCGTGTAGGCTTATGAGCCCAGCCTCTAGGTTTGAGTCGTCTGGTGGATCTGGATCTATGTCATCACTTGGGTCGGGTGTATCAGGGTTTTCCTACGAGATGAGCAAGAGAAATTAGGTCTTACAATGATGGCCGCGGTGGTAACGTTCATCACAGTTATAACAAAGGTTTTTTTCTCGACAAGCTTGCATTTCTGCTTCTGTGAGCTTCTTTATGGGTATTTTGGATGTGGGGGTGGGCAAGAGAGGGGGAAGTGGTTTTAATGGTTGTGTAGGGGTTGGTGGTGGTGGGGTTGACAGCCTTGGAAAGCGGGTTAAGGGAGAGGAAATGTGTTTGTGTTTATCCTCATGTAACTTAGCAAAGGCAATCGCCTAGGGAAGGTCAGTGGGTTGTGAAGCTAACACCTCACGACGTAGATTGGGTTTGAGGCCAAAGGTGAAACAACTCACGTAAAAACTGGTAGGATAACTAGATATGCGGTTGGAAATTGTTTCAAACTCAGAGAGGTATTCATCCAAGGATTGAGTTTGAGATAACTTACAAAGAGTGGCTATCGTGTCATCAAACTTGGAAGGGGCAAAGCGGAGTTCAAGTGCTCTAAGGAAGGACTCCCACGATGTGAGGAGACTGTTGTTGAACATCCATTGATACCAAGCTAGAGCTGGTCCCTCCAAATAGAACAAAGCGATTAGGGTGCGTTGCTCTGGTGGAGTTTGGTGATAATAAAAAAATTGGGTGATTTTAAAAATCTACCCCAAGGCATAAGATCTGTTGAAGTTAGGAAGGTCAAAACGAAAGGGTTTTGTGAGAGATGAGATGTTGGTGATAGGTGTGATGGTTTCTTTGTTTTCAAGATGGGAGATGCGTCGGGCTAATTCATGAAGTGTATTGGAGAAATTTGCGTGGGAGAGGAGGAGTTGCAAGAGTTGGCGTTCGATGTTGAGAAGAGCTGCAAAATGGTCAGCCATGGGAGGGGAGAAAGAAGCTTAATGAAAGCACCAATGAAAGAGGTGTACAGAGGGAAGAGAAGAAGATAGTGAGAGAGAATATTCTTAATTCATTTTTGCATACTTCGATACATGCTATAAGAGTGCCTTATATGCACTATAACAAAAAAAAACAATAACGTAAAAGAAGATTCTGGATCATTAACCTTCATACAAAATAACAGAATTGATCCTATTGTCAGAGGTGACCCTACACGTGGCTAATAGCGAATGTAATCCTTCAAAAGGATAGAAGTTTGAATATTTCTTCTAGATTTCTCTTCACTGATGTCAGCTATTGTGCTTGGGTTAGGACTAATGGACATTTGAGTACCTTCTTTTGAGGTAGTGGATGTGGTACTAGGAGTAGTTATACTATCAGTCATAACCTTTCAAATCCCCTGTTAAAGAATAATTAATATTTTTCCTTCACTAACTTTAGAATTAACCTTATATGTTTCTTTCAAGCTCAACTTCAAAAGTTAATACATTAATAAAACATGCAACCACTTAAAATTGATCAAATTAAGGGCTTACGCATTGCGTGACAACTATAGAGAACGTTTTTTCAAGCACATCATGTTGCATCATCGTCACAATTGAAGTTCAGGAACCTAACCAACATTAACCATTCCAAGCTAAGGCAAAATGAGATTCCATCCTTTTCCAATACCGCTTTGTTAAAACATTGAGAAACATTCATGTCTTAGAGTGGTATGAGGTCCTATTATCGATTAAACCTTATATAGAGACTAATCATAGAAAACAAATACCTTGACACTTTTTACCGAAAAATGCTATCCATAGAAGTCTTAGATGGAGACATTTGTAAGGCTTTTTCCCTCGGACTGTTAAGGGAAAAGCCTTCAAATGGTTCATAACACTTCCTCGAAGATGCATTAGTAATTGAGATGATCTCATCGTGTTTTTCGTTTTCACCAAAAAATCATTGTACCTCTCACACTTAAGCAAATGTTATCTAACAAGAAAGCGAATTTTTATTGAGAAGCAACTTTGGTCTAGAAACCTTCTAAAAACTCCCTACTCATTATTATTGAATCTATTAGAAATGACATGTTTTTTTTCCTTTTCATTGGCAAAGTTGAACTCCAAACCATGAAAGAAATCAAAGCTAAGAATTATCGAGTATGTAGGCTGTGAAAGGCATTTAGGTGACCACAACCCCAACAATTTTGGATCATACCCCACTTTTCTTTTTGACTAACATTTAAGGTGGATGTTGTTATTGTAATGAAAATTGAAGATTTGTCTTAGCTAACTGAGATGTTTGAAGATAAGAAAAATGAAAATGCCAAAAACTTTCTAGAAGAATGTATAGCTTAGCCCATGATAAAGATGAGATTATGAAACATAGGATTTTCTTGTATCACAGTAAGATAGTTATCTCAATAAATTTTACAATAAAAGATTGTCTTTCAAAGAGTGAATGTAAGTATTGATAACTAATTCTAATAACACTAATAAATCAATAAATAAATTTTTTATTAAATTTTGTATAATTTAATATTATCAATATATTATATTTTGTAATATCTTATGGTTTTTAATAAAATCTTATTATTTATAGATTTTTATTATGTGTCTTTAATCGCATATGTTTTTGATCGCACACCAAAAAAAAAAACTGTTAAAGATATTTAGACATAATTTATACATTATTAAGCTTATTAATATTTTTTTTTATCATTTAACAACATGAATATGAGGTATATAAATTTATATTAATATTCTCGAAATTTCATTTGAAAAATGAATACTTATTTTTGAATATTATTAGCATGGGTATAAGTTAAATTGGAGCTTAACAAAATGAAGGATTACTTTAAGAAGACTGAAAAGTCGCAGTAAGTATCTTCATGGATTCAAGACAGGTCTAAATTTAAAAATGTTTCTTACAAATTTAATAAAAAAAATGTATTTATTGAATCTAAGAGAAAATAGCAGTGATCTGGTGATTGTAAAAGCGGTCGCATTCTCCTAAAACAAAACCTCCAATCATTCATCATCCTGTCTCCTCTCTCTTCATCTTCATTCGTCAACCTTTCTTTCTCTCTCTACTTTCTCTCTCCTCCTGTGCCACTGAGAGAGCAATGGAGGACCTATGGAAGCGAGCCAAGACGTTCGCCGAAGAGGCCGCGAAGAAATCCCAAGCCCTGAGTACCTCCTCCTCCAGAATCGCCGATCTCGTATCCGAAACTGCCAAGAAATCAAAGGAACTCGCTGCCGAAGCATCCAAGAAAGCCGACATCATCAAAACCGCCGCGCTCCGCCAAGCGGATCAGATCAAATCCCTCTCCGACAGCATCACAATTCCTCCTCAATTCTCCGTCATTGCCACCGCCGCCACTGCGGCTACCTCCGCCGCGCCGCCGCCGACTTCGCCTGAAGAGCTCGAGAAGTTCGGCGTCACCGACGATCTCAGATCCTTTGTCAGGGGCCTCACTTCCACCACCTTCCAGAACTTTCCTCTCAGTTCTGGTAATTTTCAGAAACGAATTTGCGGTTTTATGTTTTTTTTTTTAATGTTTAAGTGAGTGCGTTTTAAAATGCAGATGAATCTGAGGCTTCTGACGTGGCCACTGTGGCCTCCAACGTTCGGAAGGATCTCAACGAGTTTCAGGAGAAGCATGCCACTCTTGTTTTAACTTCTGTTAAGGTAAATTTTACCTTTTGCTAGATATTTTTTCTTTATATTGGATCCGTGGTGCAGGGAAATTGAATTGTGTTTTAGTTTATGCTTGTTTTTTGTGGGTGTGTCCATTTTAGCTTAGTTGTTTTTTCATGTGTTTAGATTATGTGAGAATTGGGTATTCAAAATTGATTGGGTGTGGTGTAGGAGTTGCGTGATATGCGATTGATTGTTATTCCTTTTGAACAAGGAAGGTCAGTAAGGAAAGAGAAAAGACCGGTCTTTTACTGATAGTGTGTAAATGTGATTGCTTTGTGATGCATTTTGATTCACATGTTTCCTTAGTGATGTGGCAGAGGCGGGGGATGAAAGACGGAGAGCACAGATAACACCCATTTTTTAAATAATAATGTGTCATTGGATTGCTTTATGATGAAAAGATCTTCACATGTTTACTTTATAAATGTGCTAAAGGCATGTGTACGTGTGAGTCCTGCAAGCTAAACGTTCCTTTCTGGGGGAAAATATAATGATGCATGATAAAGAGGTCCATGCATTTCCCTGGTTTTTTTGTTCTTACTTCCACGTCACGTTTTTTGTTCTATTTTATTTTCTTTCGTTGGTGTTGCTGCTTTTGTTGTTTTGATGGCAAGCATTGTCAATTCATTTGCTCCCTATATGTATAGAAAAACTAGTCTATTGCATTCATCAGCCCCTGTTACCATCTGGTGATTAGTTAGAGTTTTATTTCTGTGTGTCATTTGTTTTTGGTCAAGCAAAATTCATCAATAGTAACACCGGCCTCTCTTTATATGTTATAATTTGATGTCATTTACCATCAGCAATGCTAATATAACAAGAGGATTGAAAAAGACATGTATGCATTTTAAAATGCAAGTGGTCACTAGCTTGCAATTATGAACTGTTTCTCTATTTTAATAGTTACTCCATTGCAGGAAATTTCAAGATTGAGATATGAACTATGTCCACGTGCTATGAAAGAAAGACACTTCTGGAAGATATATTTCACACTTGTCAATACTCATGTGGCTCCGTAAGTACTGCATCATTTTAATAATTCACAATCACATACCATGTTAGATTTGTTAATAAAGGTGAAAAATATTGCTATTTCATGAAGTATTTTTGTTTAACTCTGTTCTGATTGTTTCTTTATTTTTGGAAGAATAAATATCTACATAAGGAGATACAAGATTTGTGAGTTGAAAATAAACTAGTGATCAAAAGGAAATATTTTCTGCTGGCTTTTGTTACGTATTTTTAATCAAATTGTTCTAGAGCAATGTTAAAAAAATGTAAATAAAAGGAAGGGGAGATATTGTGATGGAATGGCTTGTCATTATAATGATTCAGATGTTGCACAAATTGATTAGTCTTTTATTTATCTTATTTTATATGCAAATGCATATTAGAATATATATATATATATATATATTCTACTTTGAAGTCAAGATTCTAGATACTATTATATTAAAAATATTTCAACAAGCCTAATTGATAATTCTGGCTTGTGTCTAGATTCATTGGCTTTGTATGTTGACAAAGATGCCTTTAAGCATTGTGACATTTTTATATAGGATTTAATTCTTAATTTTGTGTCTTTCATTTCCTGACTTCATGAAGTAGATTTAAGCGGAACCTTTAACTTTTGATTCTTCTTAGGAAGCTTGGCTCAGCTTGCTTCCGTTGTGCTTCGGAAACTGTGGCAGATAAATCAATTTACCAGTGTTTACATTTTGTATTTATACAAAGAAGAAATGAAAGTAAAATTTTTAAAAATCTAAATTGTGATCATATTCTTGTCTTAGCCAGAATTCAGACAGTGCTTGTTACCTTTTTTGTTTCGAGGGCAGAGTTGTAAAAATTTTAACCAAGCCTCCTTCAATTATTATGATGCTACAATCAGGTATGAGAAGCAATATATGGAAGAGGTTCAGCTTAGAGCAGCAGCAGAGAAGAATGTGGAAACTAAGGTAGAGCAAACTGCTGATACTGGAGGAGCTGGTAAGGCAGAAGCGACAGGGAAGAATGTAAAGGGTAAATCTTCTAATTCATCCTCTACTGAGCAAGACTTGGATACGTTTCTTCTTGGAGATCTTGAAGACAGTGATGAAGCTCCAGGTATATTACTCAAAGCTTGTATAGACTTCTTCTTGGAGATCTTGACTTGATTTTGAAATATTTGGGATGACATTTAACTAAGATTTATTTGTCTTGATCTTCTATGAACTTGCATTCTGTTGACCTTTATAATAATTATCATTCCTTCTTTCAGATGATGGTGAGGGCAGTTTTGATGATGATTTTGACAAGATTGGGAATTCTGTAAGTGTATTTTACCTGGATCCACTTTGGTTTTCCATTTTACCTTCATTCAATATTCTCTAGCCACCTTAATATTAATATTGTTAGGGTAACATTCTCCATGTGTCTATTTAATACAATTTACGAAATAAATATAAATAATGTAATCTAAATATGTATTTTGTCTAGGGAACTGATTTTTTTTTGTAAGTAAATAAAAGGGTAATTGAAGTTTAAAAAATGAGGGAAACTAGGGAGCTAGTGCGTGTACTTGGAGAAGAGGAGCAGGAGAAATAGGAGGAAGATCGGGAGGGCAGCATGTAATGGTGATTGAGGTTATTTGAGAAAATTTATTTGCACAATTGACCTCCCTTGGCATTGATGGAAAATTTTAGCTGCATGCACCTTTTCTCGATAAGATGATTTTGATTTATCATGTAATGGGAACTTTCAGGATGTCGAAGATGAGAAGCATGTGAAGAAAACAACTGCTGCAACAGTTTAAGATGCCCATTTGCTTTTCGTTCGAGACTAAAGTAAAAATGAAGTTTGCTGCTTGCAACTAACTGAGATATCAGACTATCAGTGAACTGTAAAGATAAGATGTTGTAGCAGCCTGGAATTTAAGAATGGTGGTTGTGGCAGTGTGTAGATTTGGTTAACTGGTTGGAAAAACTGAAGTAATTCGTCATTGTTTATTTGTTTACTCTATATAGTGGCAGATTAATTCTAGATAAAATGTTGATGGTGCCCCTGTTGCCTTGTACAGTTGACCTTATTCGTTGATGATCCTAAAAGTTCTTATTTGATATTACTTTCAGCGATTTGCAATATTGATTCTGGGGCTTGTTTCGTGGTGGGCATTGTACTTACGGTAAAGGAGGGGTTCAATTTGTGAACTGTTCGAGGACTCGAACATAACGTCACTTTTCATTCAATGAAAGTGTAAAATGGTCATCTCACCGCATGCAATCAATACTAAATTTCACTGTAGTCCATGCATTCGTCACAAGGAGTGAGAATGATCTCGGACTACATGAAAATTTGTCGTTGTCACAGATATTAGTTTAGTTTGGTTGGAAAGCAAGATCTGTTAATATCAAGTATAAAATTTATCAGTACCTTATTATATTATTTTATTTTAATATAAAATGTATTTTTAAAGTATAAATAAATATCAAATTTTAAATAATATATCTATAAATAATTAAATTATATAAAATTTAATATATATTATTGAAAAGACAATATTAAATATATATATATATATATACGGTTTTTTATCCAGTTTAATCATAATTTGATTGGAATCACACGTATAGATGTGGTGAGTGGGTTTATCATTAAATTTTTTTTGTGTATACAAAAATTTGAACTCGAAATCTTACTTAAGCGATATCGAACTACTTGTTATTCGAACCAATCTCTTTCGTTGATATAATATTAAATAATTTGATAATTAGTTTGATAAAATTTTATATAAATAGATAAATAAGAATAAATTTATTAACATAATTTAATTTTGATAAAAGGTTATTAAAAAATTTAATTTACACAGCCTCTTGAGAGTTTTGTGTTACACTAGCACATCAAGTGTATATTAGTAATTAGGTTAAAAAAGTTATTAACATAAATTTAATGCATAAATTATAATTAGTAACAAATAAATATAAATTCAAAATTTCTTGTAAAAGTCTGTTGATTGATTGTAGTGATTAAATTGATGATATAACTTATTGCTTTTGTCATGATTTGAAGAAATTTCTAAATCATTTGTTTTTAACGTGCTCAGTTTCATCTCAAATCTAATACTTTATTGCGCATTAGTTTAGATTCATATTGGTTTTGTCTTCAAATTTTATCAATTCACTTGTTTGCTTCGGTTAGTGTTGGTTATAGTAAAAGAGAAGAGATATATTTATTAATTGTCTAGGTAAATATAATGTAGTTTTTATGGTTATATATAAATAGAATAATATTTTTAATAGTGTTTTAGATGAGAAGAAAATCTTAGATTCTATTATCCTGCGGTTTTATAAATGACTATCACTTGTTAGTAAAGGGAAAACTATTTTGTTAATTAATTGATATTTAAACTCACAAAATTCTATCTACCTTAACTTAGCATGAGTATATTTCTATTTTTTTTATTTTTTTTGTGTAAGTATTAATTTTATATATATATATATGAATTATGAATTTTTTTAAAATTTTTTTTTAATAATATATATTTTGTCCATAAAAAAATATAAATTCAAAATATTTTATACCTAAATTCAAACGCATTATAAGTTAACTTTAGCACACCCTGTTTGCCGTGCCGTGTTAATCATCGGGACATCACATGAACCGATGGAAGAGAAATCGATCAAAAAGGTACCAACGAATATTACTATCACATCACAAAGATCAATCCATGACAACTTAATGCTCGTTTAATACTTCATCTGTTTTTTCTGTTATTATTTGTTCAAAGTATAATATAATTTCTTGTTATATCCGTTTATCTTTTTCATTTATTAGTTATTCTTTTATTTTAGGTTAATACTATAATTAATAAAATCAATAATTAATATCGTCTTCAATTTTAAAATATGACAAATAAATAAAAATACTTTCTATTTTTTTTAATAAAAAACAACTTACTAATTCATCAAAACTAATAAAAAGTAATTATATATCACAAGTTTATAATATATTTAAAAATATTTATAATAATAAATGGTTAAATTAATAAATTTTAACACATCTACTAATATGAATAATGAATGGATATCTCATTAACACAATAAAAACAAAAATATAAAAAAATTATCAATTAATACATTTAAAAAGTTGTCTTTATTTCTTATATATAATTTGGACTAAAAGAATATTGATAGTTGTTTTTTATAAATAACAATGGAGTGATAAAAAAAACTGAAAATTTATTACAATACAAAATTTATAATTAAAATTAATTTAAATACACATCCCTGTTACATTTTATAAATCAAAATTAATCGTATTAAATTTATTTCTTAACTTTAATTAAGAGGGCCATCAATCATTATTAATGAAAGGTTTTTAGTAAATTAATGGTGGGTGCAACAGAGTTTGAGAGCATATCCCCTTAGGGGCAAGTCAACTTATTTATGTGTGCCCTTGAGAGCATCAAAATCAGCATAGTATTGGGCGATCCACTCCTTCATAATCTTTATCTCTTTCTTTCGTTGTTCAACCAACCATTCAGGATCGCTTTGATTTGCACGCAGAATATCCAGGCAATGAGATCCTGAAAAATCTATGTTCGTCAACATGCTATCTTTCCGTTGTTTTAATAGAAAATGCTAAAAAATTAGGTCCACCCTAACTATGATATAAGAAAGATTAAAACAGTTTGATTCAATTATTTGTTACTAATATTATTTTATTATAACTGCAGTTTATTTTATTTTCATAAAATCATTATAACTAGCCTTATGCTATGTTCTAATATAACTAGACAATTAAAATATATTAATAGATTACCAAGGCGACATACCATTAACTGTATGAACGGCAAGAAGATTGTCTGATATGTTCTCCAGAACCCTGAAATATATTACACGATTCATACAAAACAGTTTCAAAATATTGTTCTAACACAGTTAAACAAAAACATTAAGTTCTAAAGCATTAAGATTAATTTAATCTTTTTCATTTTACGTTGATTACCCGCCACTACTATAAGGGTCTCTTAGGCCATTGGAGAAAATTATGTTGCTTCCAAATCTTTGAAGCACTAATTTTATGTTCTGCATTAACAACAGGATGAAGATTACAGGTGTCAATATAATCGAAGACAACCCAAATTATTTTAGAAGTTAAATAATATAGATTTTGGAGAAGAAAAATGCTAGCAACATACTATTTTAAATTATTAACTAAAATTTATTAAAAATTACAAAAATTATGTACACCAAATGGATGTTAACATGAGAAGAGAAGAAAGACATACTTACATGGCCACCATAGTAAGTAGTGATCCAGTGAGGGCGAGGTGAGACACCAAATTGTTTCTTGCAGGCTTTGGCAAAGCTCTTTAAGCTGAAAGGAATAGGTTCGAACATTGAATCGTTTCCTATGCCGATGGGTATTACCATTTCACTACATGTCTGAATGAATAACATCAATTTATCAATATAATTATAGCTTAATTAATTATGCTTACATTGTTTAGTACTTTTTAAAAAATTACATTAGTATTGCTAGGGTTAATGAGCTATAGTGTTGCTTTTAAATTTAATGATATCGACTTGAAAAAAAAGAAGAAGAAGCAAATGCTAAAACAATATTTTAAAGTCACTAGTTAAAGAATTAAAAGGAGTTTTTTTTTTCAAAAATATTATTAATGTATCTCTTTTTATCATTTCTAATACATCACAATATAGTTTTTAATATTTTTAAATTTAATGTTTTAACTAATACTCTTGAAATGCTGGTTAGTAAGGACTTGAACCAAGAAAACTTCGTTTCGTTGGAGTGTGTCTTAGTTATGAATTGTTTCCTTTTAGCATGATTGCACCTCAGTTTTTGTTTTTCAAAATATCTTTCATATTAAGTAAATTGATTTTAGGTGGAAAATTTAGAAAGCAATTTACTGCACATGTACTTATTTGGTGTTATTAAATGTCGAATTTCGGCCATTTTATGAACCTGAAACTGATCTCTTTATCCTTTGTTAAGTTACAATGAGTGATTCCCATTGTATCTTAATATACGGTCTACTCTTTATGATTGATTCAAAGACTAATTTTGCATAGAATTTTCAATGCAGACCTAATTCATTAATTATCTACCCTACACATTTAATGATAACCAAAACCATCCTTAAACTTTATGGTTAATCAATGAAAGACTTGGTTGGTATGGGAACAACCATTATAAGCCATAATAAAAAAATGATTAAATTAACAAAAGTAAGGATTAAAAAAAAATTCTAACGAAATGCAACCAACTTTTTATTTCTTTATTTTTCTCTTTACATAATGAATACATATGTATCATTAATTTAATTTATTTTATTAGGAAGTAAAGTTTATCGCACATATTATATCGAATTCAAGGGTTTGTCAAATTCGTTATCTCATGCAATAAATAACCTCATTCTAAGTAAATTAAAAAAAGACAAGGCATTGTACGAAAAATTATATTATTTTTTTATAATAAAAATCTCATTAATTTATCTAAAATAAAACTATTTATTTCATGAAATAAACTAGAGAGATTATGAATTTAATTAATTGAAAGAATGGCATCATTAAATTAGTATAAGGAAAACGAAATATCTAACCTAACAATAACATTACAAAATTAAATGCAAACTACCTGCCATTTCCATCCTACAGTTGTTTCAGATGCATTAGTAGGAGCATTAACTTTGCATGAGGTGTTTCCCTTGTAAGCCACAACACCTGCAAATATCTTACTCAATATATCTCTTCCAAAAGAAGCTCCATCAATGCCACCACAAATCACATTAACTGGATATCTTGGTGGATGATTGTATTGAGCCGCATAAACATACATTAACCTAAGGTCCTCCATCAATTCATAAGCCTCGTTTAGGGGCCTGCAAAATGTCACACTACCATTAAATAAATTTTAGAAAAACATTCTCTTTAATCTTTAGACTTAATTTTAAGTACTAAAAAAATGATTTTTTTTTTAAAAATCTTACTAATTATACATGTTTAAAACTAGTTCTAAGAAATAATATTAATAAAATTAAAAAATTAAATTTAATAAAAAAAACAATAAAAATGTTAGTAGTATACTCTTTGAAACCCTTTGATTTACTCCTCACTGTGAGACTTATTATACAAGGAGTGAGACTCAAAACATAGTGTAATATTGAAAAAAATATATGTTAGCATTTTTTGAGGGATATCTTTTTATATATGGGTTTTTTTTTTTTAAATTCAAAAAAATGAGTTTGTTTTTTGCAAAATTACAGAAATATGATTTTTTTTTTTTTTAAAAATGCCATTTGGGGCTTGATTAGTGTTTGTACTTGCAAGTGTTGAATCTGTGGCTGAGAATGGAAAGACCATCTGGTAGAGAAGCTACTCTGTGGATTTCAGACCAGGACTTTTGTATAGTTTCATAGCAAGTCTCACTAGCTTCCTGCACACCAATTCCTCATCAAATTAACTATACATTTAAAAAAGAAACAATTAAATAAACAAAAATATAAACATAAAAATAAAATTATGGCAAATTACTCGATAATCCCTTGTAACAACAGAGTAGTAGCCATTTTGTGGTGTAATATTATCAAAGTAGAGGATTGGTGCTGATGAGGCCAGGGCACCAACGGCCAGGTGAGGATATTTGAGCCTAAACCATGAAGCAAGCACTGTATATAACAAATATACATCAACAACATACATAGGAAAATAAATAAACTAATGGCGGAAACCAAGGTACAAAAGTGAAACTCTATTGACATGTTTGGTTCAGCTTAAATTTAGATAAAATAATTGCTTATTTTTCAAAAACTTTTTCAAGAAACTAAAACAAAGAAATCAATTATTTCTCCAAAATAAATTAAACCAAACATGCTGTATGAAAGAGGACTAATTTGAGGAACTAACTTCCACCATATGATCCTCCAATTACAATCACAGGGGAATTGTGGGTGTGTAATTTCTTCTTTATATGTATGAGGATTGCTGCATAATCTGCTATGGCTTGAGCTGAGTTGAAATACCCAATAGTGCTTCCATTCTTCAATGCTTCTTCCCTGGATCCAAATGGTACCGATCTCCCATAATACCGGTGCTAAATTATAAAAAGATAGAATAAGCTAGCAGAATTAAATTGTTGAAGAATAAATATTATCATAAGTGTCAAATACAAAATAAAAATAAATAAATAAAAAGGAACATATGTCTATGCAATACCTCTATATATACTAAGAGGGCATTAAAGGAAGCAGCGTTATCAACCAAAAATCCAATGGTGTTAGGGGAATTATCTATTGGTGCTTCTGCACCAAAGTATGCAAATATGGGGGCACTTGAATTGGCACCACCCCAGTACTCGAAATTTATGAGATATCTTTGTTGAAATGTTGTGTAGCTTTCTGGCCTATAATTGAAGTGATCAAGAATCTGCTTGTAGTAAAATGTTTTGATTTTGTCTTTGTCGATTGCAACTGCAGGGTCGCGTATTGTGGTTTCCCATTCAGCAACTGGACTTAACCTTGGAATCGTTAACGTGTGCGTTGCAGTAAAATAAGTTGAGTGTGTGAGAAAAACCAAAAGAAGCCATTTAGATGACAATGAGTGGTGTTTCATTGCAATAAAGGAGAAAGAGTGCCTCTGAGGATTCTTTCTGTTTCTGATATACATCAAATCGTTGTTACATATCTAGCGAGTGATACTTAAAGCATGTGTATGTTATATAAAGTTTAAGAAAATGAAAAATTATACATGAATATAAGTGTAACATTATCATAGTTATTATAAGTAATTATTAAAATGGGACCAAATCCATCTCTTCAACAGGTCAAATTAGGAGCCAGTTACATAGCTAATTCGGTTAATCCAAAAAAAAGATGGTACAGCAGAAATGGGCCAAATAGAACAAGAACTAGTCAAAATAGCAAAAGTTGGTGTAAAAAATCAAACTGATCACTTCATAAAATCTTAATGTTATACGTTGTGTTTCGACTTGTTGTTGTGTCTGAATGAGATTACTCTTATTGATTATATATAACAAAATTATTGTTTATTTCATTTGAATGATTTTGAACAAAGTTAGTTTATAATTTTTATTAACTTTTTACAAACATTATTTATTTAAAAAAACCAAAAAAATAGAATTTATGATAAAAAATTGTTACTTTATTTTTAACTATTTTTTATTTTATTCTTAATAATTAAAAATTTAAATACAAAGTTAACTATTACAAATAATTTTATATATTTAACATAGAAGAGTGTTTATTTATAAGATTCAAACAGATTATTTTAAAATCATTTTTCATGACATTCAATCACAAAACTTATTTCATATAATCAATTATCATAATAATAAATTATAGATATAATAGATTATTGAAATTTTTTTTTTAACTAGTTCAAACACAAGTTAGTCTTAAAAGATAAATATTGGTACTCTGCGGTACCCTTATATTTCTAAAATTACTCAAAAAATCTTATTTACTGACAGACAAATATATATAAATGTTATGATTGTTTTTAATAATATGACATCAATTTAATAAAAAAAATGAGAATTAAAAATATTTTAAGTTAATATTAATAATATAGTGTGTTGTATTATTTGATTTTTTTTCTAATATAAATTAAATTTCTGTATCAATAATTCGCTATCCTTTTTTTCTATGAAATTATTTGAAGTAAATGATATAAATTTAGATCATTAAGAAGAATTATAATGTGATTAGAATAATATATTTTTAACGAATTGTTTAAGAATGTGTGAAAACGTTGAGTATAAGTTTGGGCAAACTAAATATATTAACATGTTTGACTAATATACATATTTGGTTAGCAATTTGGCAAAATGCTTCGTCTTTTAGAATTACGTTTTTCTCAGTTCACTTTCAGACTTTGATTGCTTTATTCATTTGCCCCCAAAAAAGGGTCGTTTATTTAAAACTTGTGATACACAAAGCAATATCTAAAATCATCTTATTATCCAACGCCAAAGGCAAATACCTAAAAATTGATATAAAGATGAAGACCTTTACCATGACAATGAATGTATCTTCGAAGCTATTTCATTTACTGGTGACAACCATCAATGACTTAACAATTAGTAATTAATTTGATCTATATTGGGTTGATTTTTCAAGGGAAATTCGTCTAATTTAAGTTAAGTTGATATAATCCAAATCAATTAAATTTGGCTTAATCTGGATGTTTTTTGTAGGACAGCAAATAAATTTATTGTATCTATTTTAAATGTTATTTATTAAAACTTTTTTTTAATATAAACTAATTTTTTTAATAATAAGATAAAATTTAAGAATTAATTTTAAATGAATTTAAAAATGATAAATTCATTAATGCATTAAAGTAAAAAAGATGTAATTTAAAACAATTTTTTGAAAAAATAATAATATTTTAATTTCTTATATGTTTGAAGATCAACTTCCTTAAAGATAGGCTTGTGACTGACGAGGTTGTGATGAAAAAGTTATCACTGTCATGGCTGTCATCAATAATCTTAAATGATTATAAATGTGGGTTAGACAACTAGAAATGTAAAATTACAAGTTTAGTGATAGTTAACGATTAGTTTAAGTTTTATAAGCACCCATATAACAAATTAATTAATTAATTCTATTGATAAAATACAAACATGTTCATAATCCTAACATGCACGATGGGACTAAAAGATAAGCTCATTAGAAAGAATAAAAAATGTTTAAGTGAAATAAGTCTAAGAAACAATAATCCTCAAACTTAATTAATTATCATACCAACTTAATTTAGCCATTCAATTATCACTAGCACAACTTATTGTGCTTGAAACTGTTTGGTATCTTCAATAACGCTTCCACCATTCGTAGGAATAACAGCTGACTAATACCTTCCTTCGACAACAAATTAATATAAACATGTCTTGACGACTACTACCTAAAAGTGTTAAGTTTGGTTATAAAGTTAACATATTTGATTTTTCTTAAGCAAACAAATAAATGATATTATAAATATTAGTAGTACTAGGACTACCACAAGTTAGCATTGATAATATAATTATTGTTATATTTTTGTTAAATTCATTTTTGGAATTGGATTTATACACCTAAAAATACTGAATTTTTATTAAAAGTATATTTATCATATTAAAATTACAAAAATATGGTAAATACCTTTTAATAAAAAATTATTATTATTTTTAAGTGTATCAATTCAGTTTTAAAGACAGAGATCAAATTTTTTTATTTTTTTTATTTAGGAGAGTTAAAATGGCTCAATAACCGGAGTTTGAATGAGTAATTTTTCATGGCATTCCGCACCCTCGTTCGTCTTCGACACTCCAACACTACGCTCACCAGGTCATGGAGCACCGTCACCTCTTCTGTGTGCCGGCGGCGAGGCCTACCTTCGGCGCCGCCGCCGCGAGCTCCACCGTCGGCGAAGAAGGTGCCTTTCACGGTGTCGGTTAACGGGATGACGTGGCAGGACCCTTATCATTGGATGTCGAACACGGAGGATCCGCAACTGTTGGAGCATTTGAATCGCGAAAACGATTATGCCGATGCCTTCATGGCAGACACACACAACCTCCGTTCCCTTCTCTCCTCAGAGATGAAAGCCCGTTTAGCCGTCACCGTTTCCACTCCCCCTGAGCGTTGGGGACCCTGGTTTATCCTTTTTCTTTTTAGTTTCTCTTATGTAAAAAATAAAGAGTATCACTCTCAGAAGTTATGAAGATAAGTTAATTTAATTCCCGAAATTATAATAGTGTTATTTTAGTTTCTAAAGTTATCAAACGATAGTTATTTTAGTCCTGTTGTTACTAATTACAGTCGTTTTATTTTACTCTTTGAAATTAGAAAAAAAAAGGACTGAAAGAAGTTTTTTGTAATTTCAGGACTAAAATGATATTTTTTAGTGAGTTACTAAAAAATAATAAAAATGGAAATAGTTTAGTAATGATGTTAGGAACTGTGTAGAAGTGCCGTTACAGTTGGTCTTACGATTGGTTTTATTTACCATGTGGCATTGTGAGATCCATCTAACTGGCTTTGTTTAGGGAGATAAGGTTTAATTGTTATTGTTGTTATTGTTGCCTAGGATGAGACCATTGGTATCCCATTTTTGTTTGTGTTATATTGGTAAATGGTATTTGCATTGTACTCTTGTTTAGGATAAAAGTCTACTATGTGAGAGGAGAGTGAGGAGAGTCAGAAGAACTAATTTTGATCATTTAACTATACATGGACAGTTGGAATTGATTTTACTTATACCTAATCCGGCCCATTGATGTATACTTTTATTTTTCAAGATTAGCTCCTTTCACCTGATATGTATACACACATGCATGGCTTCAGGTGCAAAGACTTGGGTACTGGCATACTGCAGGCTAAAATTTTTGTGTATTATGGTAATTACTAAGAATAGATAATGTAGAACTAAATATAAATCCAACTATTGTACTGTTGTTGGTGGAGTGAGAAAGTGAGAAACTAACAATAGCAATATGCCATTTCTTTGCACTTTGGCACTTTTGAGTTTAATTGATTGCCTTTTTTACCTTCTCTTGATCAGGCTGTATTACCAGTACATTCCAGAGGGAAAGGAATATCCTGTACTGTGCAGGAGACTGGAAATGGAGAGAATTGGTTGGCTGAAGACTTCTCTTCTTCACTATGGAATGGCAGGATCAAAAAGGGAGGAGATTTTACTTGACTGGAATGAACTTGCAGAGAAATATGGTATGTGTTTTCTAGCTTCACCACTTTCATTCTGTATTTTCATTCCTTTTCAAAATTGGTGATAATAGTGGGGGTAAGGAATCTCTGGAGTATAGACATTTTTCAATCTTTAACAGGAGCTGGTATTAGAAGATCCATATCTGTAAGGAATGTGGCATCCTTACTCTGTCAGTTCTTAAAGTAGTCAAGTACCATTTTACTACACCCAGCATTGTTCCTGAAATGTTATGTAATTAATCAAAATGGAAGCTGATGTGTTTAGTTATTAATCTTGTTTCTCTTAAATTTTAAAGGTTCACAGTTTGGACCTTTGGCCAGCCTTCAAGGGATAGTTTGTACTCAAGTTGTTTAAATGTTATATTCTGCTTGAAATTCAATTTTATTACTCTTGTGTTGGTGATTGTTGACGATATAGTCAATATTGCAGGGTACGTCAATGTTGGAACATGCAGAGTTTCGCCGGATCACAACTACCTTGCATACACAGTTGATATTTCTGGTGGGGAACGATTCATGCTACAGGTAAAAGACCTCAGAAGTGGATTAATAGACCCAAGATCAGAATTTGATGGTGCTGTTAGCTTGGCTTGGGCTCAAGATGCAAGTTCTCTGTTTTATACTCTGTCAGATGAACATCAGCGACCTTACAGGCAAACTATGATAATTGGACTTTCTTTTTGTTAGTTATTTGTTACTGGGAAAATGAATTGGTTTAACTTAATATGGTATCCTAACTGTCATATGATATTGTGGCAGGGTTCTCTGCAGAAAACTTGGATATGATCATGTGGATGATCATCCAATATTTACTGAAAGCAATTCTAGTTTTTGTGTGGACATAACAAGCACAAAAGACGGCAAGTTCATAACTGTGAATTCAAACTCAAGAACATCATCCGAGGAAGGGATTTATGTGTCTTACTTTATGAATATATAATGAGATTATTCTTTTGTAGTGATATGTTGATGTTGATGATTATCACAGGTTTATGTTATAGATTCGGTCAATCCATCAAATGGTTTGCAAAAGATATGTAAACGTACCTCTGGTGTGCAGTATTTTGTGGAACATCACTCTGGTTTATTTTATATTCTTACAAATGCTCCTATTCCTGCTGGCCAATGGTCTGGTGAAGGTTATTACCTGGTTAGATGCCATGTTGAAGATATAGAGTCAGCTAAATTGCAGGTTTTGCAATAAGCTTAATACTTCTTGATTTTGTTCTGTGCATGTGTGCATGCTATTGTGTCTCTAACTCCTCTTTGGTCTGCTTATGTTTTCCTTCAGAATATCATCCTTCCCGATAAAGATACAAGCCTATATGATATGGACATGTTTAATGGACATTTGGTTCTTTTCCTCAATAAGAAAGGCCTTCCTCTGTTATGTTCGTTGAACTTTCCTACAGAACACAATTTCAAGGTATATATGAATTGCAACTTCATTAACATTTGTTTTTACCACTGAATAGAAAGGTTTATGTTATTATATTTGTTCTCTAGTTTGACTCTGCAGCATATACCTTTGTGGTTATTTTGAACATAAAGCTTCATTAAGATCAAACATAAATAAACTGTTATTCCAATATAAAACTTGCCTGTGTTAACATTTGTTTGACCTCATCTTGAATTCATTTGTTGCAGCAAGTATATATTCAAGACCTGAAACCGTGGTACTTTCCTCTGCCATCAAATACATGCAGTGTCAGTCCTGGTTCCAATCATGACTTCCTCAATACGGTTTACCGTGTGGTGCTTTCATCACCTGTGGTATGAGTACTAATAATTATGAATGCAATACACAGTTGTAGATTCAATGGTGATTTGCTTAATTCACCTGATCATTAAATATGAATGTGCTTGATTTTGTAATTAATAGTTCTATTAATATTGAACTTTTTTGGGTGCTCTGGGGACGGCACTGAATACATGTGTCAGAGAATTCACATTCTTCTAAAATTTAATAATACATGTATTTGGATTTCAGTTTATTATTTTGCTTTGCATATTTCACCATAGAAAGTGCTCCATTTAGAGACATGATTTGAAATTTATATTTTGAATTATACACAAAATTCCTTTTTCAATGTTATACTTTAGCCTGTAATATGTGAAAATATTGAGACTATTCTTCCAATCCAAAAGCTAATATTAAGCCAAACTACTTTGAAAATTGTTGTCCCTCAAATTTGCAGAAAGGAGGACAATTTTCTTTGACATTTTTATTTTATTTAATTTTTTGTATACAATTTATGAAATGTGTTTACTGTTTATTTTATTGGAGTACATATTTGTTGAAGTATTATATCTAGCTGCTTTTACTTTTAAAACTCCTATATTAAACTTCTTTCCCTTTGTGGGGTTTGGGTGCATGAACAGATGCCAGATTTAATTGTGGACTATGACATATCAAGACATACATATTCAATTGTGCATCAAGAGGAAGTGAACTGTGATTCTGCTGGTCAATCATGCACCCCGGCTTTTGAGCTAAATAAGAATGAAATTCAAGAGGTGTGTAGTGATAAGAAAAAGTGTGTCATGAGTTTTGATTCGCAGAGATGGAAGGACTTTTCTCAAGTATACTGTTGTCATAGGGAGGAAGTTATTTCCCATGATGGTGTAAGGGTTCCACTAACCATTGTGTACTCTAGAGAATCCTGGAAGAAGGGTCAATCCCCTGGACTTTTAGTAGGCTATGGAGCATATGGAGAAGATCTGGATAAGAGCTGGTGTTCAAATCGCCTGAGTTTACTGGACCGTGGTTGGGTAATGGCATTTGCTGAAGTAAGGTTGGTTGCTTTACATTTATCTCTACAGTTGATAGTTTTCTTTTAGGTATTTCATATATGACATGGGCTGGTTTTCTATGATACATATTTGAGTTGAGATTAAAATTTAATGTTTTGAATTGTGCGTTTTGTTATATGGCCACTTGATTGTGACAAATGGGAAGTTTTAATAATGATTTTTAAATATTTATATATGTATTTTCTTTTATGTGGCAACCTGTGTTACACCAGAGGCGGTGGTGGTGGTGGTCCTTCATGGCACAAATCTGGGAGGGGATTAAACAAACACAATTCAATATTTGACTTTGTATCTTGTGGCAATTACCTGGTTAATGAGGGTTATGTTCAGAGTGATTTGCTTGGTGCTATTGGATGGAGTGCAGGCAGCCTTCTGGTTGGTGCAGCTATGAATATGTGTCCAAAACTCTTTCGTGCTGCCATATTGAAGGTAAATTTTATTGAATTGTAATTGTTACATTAATGTGAACGATAGCTTTTCAGAGATGATGCACGGGAAGAAAAGATTTTGGATATTTAAAATATAAGTTCTTTGATAAGCATCACATCTCTACTGTCTAGATAAAATTTATTGCATCAATTTTAAAGGGAAAAGTTTGTATTTAAATAATTAAATAGATTCACCTTCTTTCATTTAGCAAGGATGAGTTTTATCAAATATTTTTTATACTTTTTCAATTTTTTTTAGTTTTCCCCTCTGATTGTATGGTTGTATATATCAGGTACCATTTCTTGATGTTTGCAACACATTGTTGGATCCCAGTCTGCCCCTCACAGTTTTGGATTATGAAGAATTTGGAAATCCTCAAATACAGTCAAATTTTGATTCTATTTTTAGTTATTCTCCTTATGACAACATTCCTCAAGGCAGTTGCTTTCCTTCTGTTTTGGTTACAGCAGCAGTTAATGATTCAAGGCAATCTCAATCTTGCTATATATAAATATGTGTGTGTGTGCATATTACCTCCTAATTATGCATTTCGCAACTTTTAATGGTGTAAAAAATGTTGATGTTAGCATTTGACTTTCATTCTCAGGGTTGGAGTTTGGGAAGGTGCTAAGTGGGTTGCAAAAGTACGAGATAGTACCTGCCCTCATTGTTCTTGTACCGTCATCATGAAAACAAGTATGATAGGAGGGCATTTTGGTGAAGGCGGTCGCTACGCTCAATGCGACGAGACAGCATATGAGTATGCTTTCCTCATGAAAGCTTTTGGAACTTTAAATGAATGAATTTATTAGGCCTGCTGTTGGAAGGTTATTTTATATCAGTGGAAGACTTTCATTTGGGTAAAGGAAAACATTCTGTCGTCCTATTGCGCTGTCAATATCTAGGCTCCAGAGACGCTAATGTGTTTGAGCAGCTGTTATCTATATGTAGGTATGTATGTCACTGAGCTCTCTCCAGTATCGTTCTTTCAAAGTAAATATTTTCACACCCTATTAGTCGACTCTTGTTCTATTTTTCATTGCTTTTCCTTGATAAATAGTTGGATTAGCTGCACACCATAAACAAGATGAGAATTGAGAAGATAGCCAATTTGGTGTCTGCTGAGTTCGCAAGCTTTGCTGTTTGCAGAGGCAGAGCAATGTAGAGACTTACGTGATGTTACCGTTTATTCACGCCTTATTGCGTGCAACATTAGCACTCTAAAATGCCCACGAGCAAATTTTGGAAAATTTGTTAGCTCTTCCACATGAAGAGTAAATAAGTTTAATTCCTAATTTTTTAGAACTCTTTTTCTTTTCTCCTTTTTTACGTTATATTGAGTAAAGCTTCTTATATTCTTTCTCTTCAGGCTAAAATAACTACAAGGTGTTCCTAAATGCCAAGATTTCACATCGGTTGAAATATATGACCAAGGCCCAAAAGAAAATAAAACATTTTTAATGATTATTCCTCTCGTCACATAGCAGTACACATATTATTTATTTATTTATTTTAGTAAATACCCGTATTCATCTTTAAAAAAATATTCAATTTAGTGGGGTGCAATGTAAATCACTGAACACTTTATCTTTACGTCTTTCGCAAATGGCGACCACAAATATTAACCATATAAAATATCAAAAAAGACAAATAACCATGTTAGATTACCAGTCCTTCCGTTTAACATGCTAATGTTACACTTAAACATAATCACACGTATGAGCATGACATTATCTTTAGACATATGGAATTATTGAAATAATATATTATTCTAGTTCTGACACATTTAGTTTTTAAAGTTATGAAAAGAAATAAAAAGTTTCTATGAGAAATCGGCCAATTTAATTGTTGAAATCATATGCATTCATTACTTTAGTTCCTAAAATAATAAAAAAAAAATTGACCATTTGAATTTTTAAATTTTAAATATTTATTAATTTGGTCCTTAAAATTATATAAAAAAAATTCCACGTATGATGTTACGTTCCAATATAATGCTTACATGATTATCTATTTTATAAAATTTGAGATTTGTTCCTCCAATTGAGGAATTGGCCAATAAAATTGTTAGGATTCTTAAGGAAAAAGGGTCCTTTTTGTCGTTTCATCTTAGATATGAAATGGACATGATAGCTTTCTCTGGTTGCAACGAAGGATGCAATGAAGAAGAGCTTGATGAGTTTACAAGAATGAGGTAAACAACTTATTCATTCTTCAACCATTTCAAGTACACTACGGGGGGTTTTAAATTTATGTAGAATTAATTTCGATAGATTAATTTTATTAAACTGTTGATCATGCTAAGATATGTTTCAAAAATCAAATAGGTAATAAAATTTTATTAAAAAGTACAACATTTTTTTTGTCAAAAAGTGCACTTTTAAACGAAAAATCAAACAGACACTAAATATCCACCTAAAATTTAACTAGACTTAAAAAGTTTTTTCTCCATGTGTATAGTTTTGCACATCACACTTCTACACTGCCTAACACCCCCTTACATTGGAAAGAATTATTTGGTCGATATGTATATTTTATCATAAAAAGCATTTCACATGCAAATAAAAAACGAGGGGTGTAAAGCAGCAAATGTAAAAAAAAGGAGTGTGAAATAGAAATTATCATTACTTCTCTACATATGCAAGTATTGTGAAAAGTGCATTCCTCATAAATATAGCAATCTAAAATCTTTGTTTGATCTTTAAATTTATTTAGATATGCTTATCCATGGTGGAAAGAGAAAGAAATAAATTCTGAGAAGAAAAGGAGAGATGGTCATTGCCCATTGACTCCTGAGGAAACTACTCTAGCACTGCGTGCTCTGGGAATTGATCAAAATATTCATATTTATATTGCTTCTGGGGATATATACAAATCAGAGAAAAGAATGGCAAGTCTCAAAGAAGCTTTCCCAAACTTGGTTAGTAAACAGAACCTTTTCAGAACTTCAGTTAACAATTTCTTCTAAGTAAACAAAAATGATCACTTAGTTATCAACATTAACCCAATAGGTTAAGAAGGAGACATTATTTGAACCCTCAGAACTAAATGATTAGCATGCTCTTGACCATATGTAGATTAATTTTAAATTTTAATTAAAATATATTAACAGTGTAAAGGTTTTTTTTATCATGTCATCTAATAATGGATTGTGGTATAATTGAAAATAAGTAAATACATATTTAATTCCTTAAATTACAAGTGTCGAATACTTATAACAACTTTACAAAAATCTCACTTTAATTTTTAAATTTTTTTAAACTACATTTATTTTATAATAATTACTTTAACTGTCATATCCAGTGCAATATATGGATTTGGTTGATATTGTAAAAAAATAGAATAAAATTGATAATGTATAAAAATTAAATGCTTTTAGGTACTTGGGATTCAAGAAGACAATTCTTTTAGACAGAAAGCTTCTGGTCGAACTGATAGACCAGTGCAAAAATGGGACAATAAACTCGAATCAGTTCTCGACATCAGTGAAGGTAGCTCATGCAGATCGTGTAGGGAAGCCAACAACAAGAACAGTGGTGCCAGAAAAACCCAAGGAAGAGGACTATTTCTACACAAACCCACAAGAGTGCTTCAACAGTTGATGGACCATAACTTAGCATTGCAGCCTAAAGATTTTATGCTCTACTTCATGATGGTATGGAACCAGAGTGGAAAAAGATTCGCTAACATATTTATCAAATATATTGAATCAGTTTATTTTTCTAATGGATTATGACCATGCAAGGTTTCAGTAAAGTGAAATCGATTGCATATTATGTAATAGATATGAAATTAAATTCAATTATTCTGGCATAATAATTATGTTTTTAACATCATAATATAATTTCTTGTTTGTACTTCTGTTGATTTTTTATTTTTATTTTTGTTAAAAATGATATTTTAGTTACATTGATTAGTTGGAAGCCTCATTTGTTTATTTGTTTATTGTTAGAAATAAAACTTTAAGAAATAAATATTATATAATTTATATATTAAAATGTGTTAAATAAGATTAATTTTATATCAATTAATGTTATTTACTGTTACAAAAGTTTTAATTTTATTACTTCGCGCATAGCTTGAAAAAAACTAGTCTTAATCAATTTCAATGTTCATAATATTAAATAATAAAATATACACATTTTATTTAAGATTATTCATAAAATTATGAAAATCAACCGAGATAAAATAATTAGAAGAGAGATATGTCATGGCAAGATGAACTTATTCCTTTTAAGAGAAAAATATTTACTCTTAATATTATTGATATGCTATTTAATAATAGTTTTGATTAAATAAATCATATTAATATCTAATAATATTTTTAAAAGTTTCTTTTTGTTCATAATATTTTGAGGCCTCAAATCAAAGAGTATACTTACCTTATGCTTAGTTGGGTGGGGCATGCCTAACCCCATCCTTATAGCCATTAGCATGATAATGTACCGATATAGTCGTACTGTTGTATAAAATTCAAGTAAAACTAGACGTTTATCATTTATGGCATCACAGCACCTAAAAGATAACCTTTTATAAACAGATCATGAATATTATGCTGCCCAGGATATCTAAAGTGCGGTCCAAATCCAATGCATGAGACCCCCATTTGATGAGGTCTAAAAGGTGCAAATATACTCATTCTTACCCCACAAGTTGAGTCTCTGCTTTTTCATTAACAAGTCTTTTTCATTAAAAATAAAACATTTAGAAAAAAAAAAACCATAATTCGACAAATTTTTTAAGATAAAAGCAAAAAATTCCAAAAGAAAAGTAGTTTGTGTTTAATAAGCTTGAAAGAATAATTATAGGGAGAAAAAACTAAAAAGATATATCAATTCCTTTTTCAAAGCTTAGCCAAATACAATCAAAATAACCATTTATATCATAAAATTGCCAATCAAAAGCTAAATAATACTAAATTATATTATGTATCATACAAGCAAAATAGATTACATGCCCACTACTGCAGAAGCCTCAACATCTCCACGAATAATGCATGTGTTACAAAGTTCTTATAGTTTTAAAATGACAATCAAAGGTCAAACAAATGGGAAAGGATGTACAGTAACCACAAGGAATATGGTGCCCCAGGAACAAGTCATGAGAAATCTGGATGCCAAGTGAATGTCCATGAAAAAGGCCATATAAGTCACTTGTATGTTTTCATTCGCTTTTGTGCTTGATCTGAGTCTTCACTGCATGCATCTCTAAAATGTGCAATGGTTTGATTGCTTGAAGGAAGGTTATCATGATTCTGCATTACACAAATAAAGGGGAAAAACAGAATTAGCCTGAAAGGAAAATGCAATCACTGCGATACATAGTTCAGCACCCAAGCATGTATATATATTATAAAAGAGGATCTGTATACCTCTTGTGTATTTGAAGTTTTGCACATTTTGGACTTGTAAATCATTGAAACTTCAAATTGATCATTGAAAAGCATACCATCAAATAAACTATTTTTATTTTAAATATGAATACTCTTAAGTCTTAACATTGTTTAGTTATTTAAATATCTAATGCTCCTATGATATACTGAGCATAGCAGAAATTAATTGATAACCTTGAAGCATGTCTGGGAAGGCTTTTCAACTTATTTTATTAGCTGAAAAGCTTGTTTAACAAAAGGACCCTTTTATAAAAAGTAGTTAAAATAAGCAATTGTTAATGTTTTTTTAAACACTTCTAACTAACATTTTTTAAAATGCTAGTTTTCAACTATTAGCCGAAAATCCAAGGAGTTGTCAAAAAACTAGCCAGACATGTTGCGAAGCATGGCAGAGCAAAGGAAGTGCTCACGACCATGCGTCTGACCTCTAATGGGGATGGATCCAACCGACTAGCTGGGCGCAAGACAACGACCCAGATCCAAGGGGTTGCTGGTTGGAAATGTCACCAACAAGAACAGAGGCAAATAGAAACAAGAAGAGGTCAAAAACCAAAAGAAGAGACATTGTTTTGGAAAAACAAATGTTAACCAATGGGCAGTGAGCCCACTGGAGACATAGAATGAATCCGTGTTTCAACAATTAGCGGAGGGCATATATTTATAGTAATAAACAAAAATACAAGAGTGATTATAGAACAGAATCTTGTTTGACATAAAGTGTCGGTCCAAATTATTTTATTAAAATGGCCAGGATAAATTATGATATTCCTTTTTGCAGCATTCCTATACACCCTAATTGTGTCTCAAACTTTTAGACCTCTTGCAATAAAAAGACAAAAGCATTAATGAAGGCAACATGTCATTATAATATACCTTGGGAGAAGAGGTCCCACAACTTGGTCCTTTGTTTGCCCGTTTCCCTAGATTAATCTGAACTGATATACTAGCCTGTGACAGATCTAAACCAGCACTTTGTAATGCTTGAGATAAATTATTCAACAACCTGTTATTCAAATGATTTTTACAATGGTCATTAAAGCTGACACAGAGACTTTAAACAAAAAAGGGCTACAGCATTATTCCAATTGACATTGGCAAATAGACACCTAAAGCCATTTTGAAGAAGCATCTAAAGGGTCCAAATGGTGCTACTGTAAGTGAACAGGAGTAATAGCATCAAATTCATAAACTCTAGCTTATACTCATTTAATCAAAGACCATTAAAAGTCTTTATAATTATAATGCTACAAGCAACACCATGGAAATTGGCAACAATGATCATCAATTTATGCAAATGCCAAGGTATTTGAGTTCTTATAACCTGAAATAACTGATGGTTTCAGCACATCAACCACATTTGACATTTTAAAAACAGGGGAAAAGAGAGAGAGAGAAAGTAAGTGCTCCCTAGCTGTTCAACATTTTGTTGATGCATACCATGAATTAGTGATGCGCAACCTACACAATACAGTAACCAAGCAAGTAAATTCACCATCCGTTAAGTGACATAAAAATTGGGACAACAAATGTTCCCCCAAAATCAAATACAATGGTTCTAGAATGCTGCCTTTCTTCTTTTCTTTTTTTTTTCCCCCTTCAAAAAACCAAAACCAATCAATATGGTAATCACTCAATTAGGATCCAATTGCAAGGTATGGGACTTGAGGTCCCACATTGGAAGTATGGGATTCTAGATTGGGCTTTATAAGACCTAGTGCTTTCCAAGACATAGTTGTGTACAACCAAGACAAACAAAGCCCCAGCTTAGGTTCTCATCTCCGTAGTTGTGTACAACAGAACAAAATATCACAAACAGGAGACATAAAATCAACACATGCACCTTGAAAATGTCAAACACCATAACATTATTAGATCTTTCTGAAAATGTAATATTGACCAGCATTAGATTATAACTCAAACAATGACTAGCAGATTAAAAATAGACAAATTCAAAAGAAAAAACTTGGCGTGACTAGATTTTTGAAATCATAACAACAAGAAAGTCCCTTAAAAATAAAATAAGTGAACCAAACATCTATATCAATAAAGCCATACAATCTTAAATAATAATAATAATAATACCAATACTAATAATAATTATAATAATAGTAAAAAATGTTAAGCAATCACCCACCCTTGGGAGTAAACACTTGAGATGCTAATTGTCCCTCCTTCAACTGTGAGTTCGTCCTGCGGGTTCTGTGGTTCACTAGTTGTTGGGCATTCAGTTGATTGTGCATCAGAAACAGTTCCTTGAAGAGGATGTGCAAGTGCACCATCACTTCTGACAGGAACAGACATATTTGAAAGCATAGCCAAGGGCAGAGATATTCCTTTGCTTGCTAAATCAGGTTGTCTCTCTGCTGTTTTGTTGACAATATCCCTGCTCTGATCAGGATCTATTGTATTCTGAGTGCCACCAAGCATGGTTGGAGTGATACTAACATTGCTTTCCTCAAACTTTCCAGGAAAAGGTGAAACTGGACCTGAACCATTCTTTATAGCTGGAGGTTGACCAACAAAGCTTTGGACACGCCAATGACTATTTCTCTGTATCATTACAATAGGTAAATAAGCTAAAACAAAAAAATAAATAAATAATTAGCCACTGAACTGATTCCATCACCATATGTATTACTCTATATTATCCATTACGTACATAAATAAGTTGAAGACTTAAACAACCCAATAACAGAAGTGGAACCTTTTACAATAAAACACTACAAGAAAAGTATAAATCAAATCATTGTGACCAAGTTGGCAAATAGTATATGAAAAATAGAAATTCAGATTGCAATTGACACACACATAATGAACAAGTAATTAAAAATAAAGTTAATGTTGATTTTCTACTTCACTCCCAATTCTATTAATTTTCTTGATTTCATCCAGGTGCTCACATGTTCAATGGATTTGCAATTGGACACAATGTATTTGCCAAACTTCACGTCATCATTTTTGCAAGCTAAACAAGTGTTTCATTTTTATTTTTATTTTTTTTGTCTAACCAATATTATATTCAATAGGGGATTTGCATCCCAAAACATTATGGTTTTTCTATTTACCCATGGCATCAACTTCGAGGGCTCTTGACCCCAACCTTGATATGAGCCTTCATATTTTTGCACCTTCTCCTGTAAGTATTGAACATACTCAATCACCTGCAAAGTAAAAATAAATAAATCAACAGGTTCTTAGATATATTATCAGCTAATTTAAACAACAAAAATATAATTATTTCTGACGTTACAAAAAATACCTCTAATAAAAATGATGCCGTGTCCCTCTTTTGATCACTATGAGGTATGAGATCCCTCAATATCTGGAATCTGAAGGAAAGGGTTACCAATCATCAATCTCCAGCTTAGTGAACAAATTATCAATACTCTGACTGGAAGCGCTAAAATTTCAAGGTCTCCACATTATTTAAAAAAATTATAGGACTTCTAAAAATCCATTATAAACTTGATTTTCAAGATTTTAACACTCTTCACAACACATTATTTAAGTATCCTTTAACAATTATTAACATGAATCTTATTCAAACGTGAATAACACCTCAACAAACTCCTAAAAAGATTAAAACCAATTCTGCAGCACGAGTTAAAACACAAAATAAACTGAAGCAATGAAGCGAAGAAATCCAAGTATTGTAAAATTGCTGACAAATCTATTCACCTTTTAAAGAACTGTGCTTAAGGATATCAACAATTTCATTCAATTTTAAATCATCCAGGGCCAATAATAAGCTATAACTTAGGTTTTCAGTTTATCTTTTAGCAACTTATACTAGAAAACTCGATGTACAACAGCCCTAGTCTTATCAACCTGAGTTGCACATACCTCTCATTTATCTTGCTCCTTCTTCGCTGCTCAGTCACAGAATGTTTCGATCTTATTGCACTAGCCTTGTCAATAGCTTTTGCATCTGTTTTAACCATAACCCCCAACGTAAGAACTCCAAATTCATTCAAACTTGAACTTTAGATCGTAAATGAATCCGACCCTAAACTTCATACGTAAGAAAAACTTTACCCCAATTATTTAAATTCACCAAATTCAAGATATTTCCACAAAAATATTTTTAAAAAAACGCACATAACAGTGGATTTAATTTAACACAATCCAAAACACTAAAAAAACTAAAAAGAATAGGAAACCAGAAAGCATTCGCACAACCTAGAACAATACAAACAAACGCCCAACAATTGGATCTAACAATAACGTAAGAATGACATATAAGCATGTTTTTCAAAAATTAAAAGATAAAAAAAAAAACCAAAAAAAGGGGTACCTTTGTTGGTATTAGGCGCAGAAGAAGGACCCTGTTTCTTAGAAGAACCGAAGTCTTCCTCCTCGTACTCTTCCTCTTCCTGGTTCCCTTTCGCTGCTTTCATTGTTCTAAGCAAAAGGGTATCACTGAATCAAAAAAAAAAAAAGCGAACGTTGAGGGAAACAGGAATACCCAGATGGGAAATAGAGAACAAAGAGAAGAAGTGGAAATTGGGGTGTGAACCTTTAGAAGGTTGAGGATTTTGTTGAGATTTGCAAAGGGTTCGACGCCGGCGTTGAAGTGGCAGTGAGTGTCTCCGGCAAAGGACACGAGTCACTCCCGGAGAGAGAATAAGGAAGGATAGCATGTGGCTGACCCCATGCGTGTCTCGTGAGCCTTCTTCATTTGGCAACAAACTCCTTTCGTTTTCTCCTTTCTTTCTTAATCATTTTTTTCTTTCCCTAAATCGTAATAATTATAAGAGTACAATAAATTAAATTAAAACAATATTGAAAACTAAATTTAAACGTATTAAAAAGTATAAAAATTACATCAATAATATTTATTCATAAGAATTTTTTTTTTCAATTTCTTAATTAGATCAACACTTGCTAGTATTTACCTAATTATAACTAACTTATATCATGGTAAGTGTTACTAGGATGCATCCTTTATCTCAATCTAAAGATAATTTTAATGAATTTAAATTTTAAAAATTAAATTATGTTATAAAAACATATTTGAATGTAGTTTCAGTTATTCCAACTCAAATTAATATTTATATTTTTTGTAATAATGAAAATATTTATTTTATTGATAATACAACTAAACACAATACTCAAAGATAAAATTTATTCTTTTCTATAACAATGTAAGAAGTTAATGTTCATACTATACCCCATAATACAAAGATATTTGAAAGGCTTCCATGGCAGGTCAAGGTTGTCATTACGAAGTTTGAAGAGCTTTTCCGTTTATTTTTCCCTTATCAACATATCGGAAACTCCTATTTTAAGTGTGTCAAGTTTTTAAAATTCGGTTGTGGCAGAAAATAGAAAAAGTTGTTAGTATCTAATAGATATGATTCGAAGGTCTTAATTCCTAAAATCTTGTGTTTTTACGGTTATATCTTTAAAAAATATTACATTTTTCTAGAAATATTATTATTTAAACATAACTATTTTATTTAACTCTAGTTGAGAGTTAACTGGTTAAGTGAATCACTTAAATTTGTAGGTAAAAATGTTTCTCATACCTACACACATATAACATTAAGCAGATTTAAAATGGATTTAGAATTTTCATTACTATCCACAGATATCTATTAGAAACTACAAAAACTAAAAGAGAGAAAAAAGAATCTTTTAAATAACCTAATTTAGAATAACTTATATAGAAAGTCGTGATTTAATAGATATTTAAAATAACGTATTAGTTTGTTACAACAATAATAACACGGTATTAAGTTTAGACACATCACAAGTGTCATATAATAACCAAATTAACATTAAGTTTGCTTTTATACATAGAACATTTTAATAAGTTAATGAATATGGAAACTCACAAACACAAGTACTCTCAATACCTATCTCATACTTAATAAATGAGTAAAGAAAAACTCATTTAATCTGTGAAGATTTTACGAACACAAAAGTACTTCTACACAGTTAATTTTCACTCTGAATAATTTTTGTTTTGAAAACATAAAATTCTGCCGAAAGTTGTATATGTGGACTGAGACCTTTTTCGTCCTTTTTAATTAGGGCCAAAATTAATTATAACGAGCCCAGCGATGCTGGTATTTTGCAATTTTGGGCCCATTTAGGCTGCATCGTTTTTGTTACTTAAACACCAAAAAGGCCGAAGAGATTGGTTTTTTCATATAGAATATTGCATCGGCCATGTTTGTGTGTACGTTTTTATAAGTAAATTTTATATAATAATAATAAATTAGATAAACATTCAAATAAAGATAAAAACCTATTGTTACATGTTATAAATTTTTAATTTCTTAATTTCTTAATTTTAGACGAGTTTTCTTTACCAATTCTCTTTAAGTTAAAATCACATCTCACGTTACTTTTATTAAATTTTTATGTTCTATTGAACAAAATATGAGACGAAAGACTTAAAAACATTTAAAATTAACGACAATTCATCAACGTTAGAATAACTGAGATGTTATGTATGCAATTATACATTTATTATAATGCAAACTTTTCACGCTTAAAATGACATTGCAACTTACCATTTAAATGCATTTCTTTTATGGACACAATTGAAATGTTTGCTCCAAACTCAAATTGAATGATGAAAAATTATCATATTCGATTATTTCAGGGAAGGGATTTACGAGAATTCACCTATCCAATAACCAAAAAAACATGAATGATTGAATGGCAGCAAGAAGTAAACAACTAAATTAACCAAACCGCACTTTGTGTGGTGAAGAGAAATGCTTTGACGCAGCAACCATGGTGGCTGCAGGCCCACCAGGTGCAGGTGCTGCACTTTTACTTGTCTTCACATTTCCACCAAAAATGCACACTGCTAAGGATCTAACTTTAGAGAAAAACGAGCTATTCTCCTTGTCCTTATGACCCATCTCCACAGGCCCACCAGGTGCTGCACTTGTACTTGTGTTCCCATTTCCACCAAAGATGCACACCACGAAGGATCTAACTTTCGAGGAAAACGAGCTATTCTTCTTGTCCTTATGACCCATATTGGGCCTGCAATACAATCACGGAATATAGAATTTATGCAAAAAAATTAATGGTATATGATTTTACCAAGTTGAAACAGGGAAATATGTAATAGCACTCAAACTTAATACTTCTGAATTGGATATGTTGTATTATAAATTGTTGCTGATTGATGTCTGTGAATCAAGTTCACTTGCCTTTTATAAGATCCAAAAAATAATGAATTTCTTGATGATGTTGCTATACTTGGTCTCCAAGTTTGTTTGCATTCATTCAAAATGAAAAGTAATAGAATAATGTCTGACTTTGACTAGTTTCAACTACAATCACAGGTGTCCGTGGTTTTTTACTTTTGTTTGTTATCCTATACTTAATTTCTCAGAATCTACCTGAGAGCAAGATCAAGGAAATTACATACCAAAAACAAAATCAGACAAACAAACATTCCAATATATATATTTATTCACATTCATCACTTAAATAAAGGTAAGTTTGGAAAGTATCTAATAAAATAAAACGTGAAAAGTGTGAATAAGTGCATACTTGATTGTAGATATGATAGTAAAACATGTTCTAAATCAAAATAGAGTGAAAAATTGAATTTTATTTGTGTTTAAATTATGCAAGCTTGTAATATAATAACGACAAAAAATTCGAGTATGAAAATTACCTTGATAATCCAAGAAGTTTAAGATCTTCCCTTCGACAAGGATGATAAAGGAACATCATTTGTGTTTAATCCTTTGCGTCCAACTCTTTGAATATGAAAGGATCACAGCAAACAGAATGTTCGTGAAAAGGACAAGAGTTTTGTTGTGGAATGTTATGTACGGCAAGCTGCTCAATATATATAGCAATATATTTTCGTTTCACTGTAACTGTAAGTAGGTTTCTTCTATTCTTGTCAACAACAACTTGACCAAGTCAGTTACTTCAACTGACAGATGCAGTTTCAAACATTTAAAATAAATTTAGTCGGTTGTGATATTCTGTTACTATCTCTTGATGATGTTATTCTGGTGCTGGGCTAATCAAAAGTTATTGGGCCCACGACATCGCAAAACTCAACGCCATATTCTAACTCATCGCTTATTATTTTGTTTAGGCCCAACCTCGTATGCTAAACTGCCAAATTATTAATGACCCCATTGCATTAAAAGAAATTGTAAAATAAAAGTTATTTTCATTAACAAGTATTTTGGCCCAAACTATAAAGTAATAATAATGGGAACATGCTATTTGTACAAAAGATTTGAATAATCTTCATTACAACTTAGAAAAATCGAAAGATTAAAAAAATGAATAGAAAAATAGGTGATGTGATGAAAAGAGAAAAAAAAATAAAAATTGTTCTTGGAAATTTTCATTGTAAATTTGTTGTAGAAATTTTATGACCAATAATAATACTCCGTTAAAAAATTTATGGCAGGAATTTAAAAAAGACAAAGAAAATTTTAAAAATACTTAATTTATTAACTTTTTAAAAAATTAACCAATCATAAAAGTACATCAAAAAAAATATTATTAGCATTTCTCTTCTTCAAATTTGACCCATTTTGAGCTGACTATGAAACTAATCACGACCACCAAATTATGTGGTCTCCCCACAAAAATTGCTTTCCAGATGAGAACATTGAACTTGTACTCTCATTCTATGGAATTGAAATTACTTACCACCACGATCTTACTTGAGCTTTTTTTTTTTTTTTTTTTTTTTGTTATTTGGTTGGAGCCAAATTTGCGATATGAGTTGTAATGGTGGAACTTTGTTTTTATTGTGGTCAATGGTGTCCAGATTAATGTTCCCACGTACCTTAATTATCCACTTTGTAAGTCTATTTAACAGTAGGTCATCCATATACTAAGATTAACAGTCTATTTGGTTCAATGGACAAGTGGGTAAGGGAAGGACTATAGTAGAGAGGGAAAAAATATATTAACCTACTATTATACTCTTCTAATACACAAAGAAAATCATTAAACTCATGCTAGGTCAAATTTAACTTTTTAGAATTAACCTCCTATTATAATATGTTTGGTAACGACAATGGTTTAAGAGACCTATTTATTAATTGGCTTTATATACCTATATACCCACATCATAGCTATTTTTATGTGAGCATCTTTTTACTTCTACTTATCTTTTATAGCTCCATGACTAACCATAGAGCTTTGAAATTATCTTTGTATGTACACTCACCTTGTCCTAATAAGTAAACATTCATTATAATGGTTTAAACTTTTTTGACATTATCGAACCGTCTTGAGGCTACTTTCTTAGGTATAGTTGTACACATTTTCCTTCTTCTTCCCTTCAAATGTGTCTTATAAAAATATTTCATCTACTCTCTCTACTAGCTATTTTCCTCCAACTAAATTCAATGTATTAACCTATATAAAGGCTCAAACTGTGTACATCTACCATCTCTAAATCTCACTTGATGAGAGTCTTCTAATAGAATTCAGCAATAGTAGTCAAAGCCAACTGGTGCACGTAGCTCAGCATCTACCTCTCAAGATTCTTTCTCAAGTTTCGCATTGATCATTCAGCTACAACTATTATCACCTATCATTGCAAAGCTAAGTACAATCATTTAACACCCGTTATGAGTGCCACCTTAGAAATTTAATTCAATGAATTGAGCTAATATAAATATTTTCTGGACTTTTAAATGAGTTGAATGACAAATTATGACTCTACGGGATGCTCAAAA